GAAACAAGTGTTTTTTCCCAGAGCTGATAGCATCGGACATCATCATCTCCAAGCTTAAGGAAAAGTGGTGGTGGTTGTAAACCTTCTCCACCACAGGGGGGCAGCACCAAACAGCACAGGTTGCTCTCGGCGGCTTGGTTCCTTGGGAGGACGAACTCGGTTAATCCGCTTACACGTGGTTCCTCTTATTAAAGCCATGGCGACCGGTGGTGAGGCTTTATGGATCAGAAACCAAATTACAACAGCAGCAAAACTGCACAAGGAAAATTACTTAAATTCCTTGTAATCATATAGTTAGGACTCTTGTTTTCTTTTTATCAGCGTGACATACGATATATTTCATGTACCATTGGCATTTCTTAGCCAAGAAAAATACCCTTGAATTTTAGTGAGCTTGTTTAAATTGAGATCCAAGTATTCTTGAACTCAAGGGACAAAAAGCAGCCAATATTCTTTTTTACCTTCCTTGTTGCTGATAAATTCTTTTGAGTATTTACAGGCTGTAGGATTTTGTAGCAGGCAATTAAAGAGAGTGGGAAAATGTGTTCCTGGCTTCTAGTTTTAAGGGCATATGACCACCCCGCAGTGTTTTACTGTTCACCTCTGCTGGGATCACCAGACGCTCAACTGATAACAGCTTCTGTTGATCTTGAACCCTATTTCCGCTTGGGCACATCACAGTAGCCTATCCAAACCTCTGTTTTCCACACCAGAGGCTGAATTCACTGGAATTTGACCAGAGTGACTATAATAATTTACTATCCAAACTGGGACCCTATTGAGAGTAAAAGGAGCCACTCAGTAGTTTTGCTAGAACAACAAACATAAACCAGAACTGTCCTGGGGACAATTGGAACGTGTGGTCCCACTCACTACAAATCATATCCTTTCCTTTCCCCCCTTTAATGACTCCAGCTAAAATTTATTGTAGCACTTTGTTCATTTGCTCTTTCCATTCAACAAATGTTCACTGAGTTTTCTTTCCATTTTTATAAATGAAAAAAAGATTGGGATTTTATAAATCACTTGGCAGGATCACAGTACCAGTAAATCAGAGCTAAGATTTCAACCAGGCTGTCCCTGCTCTGGGCCATGTACACTCAAAACCCTACCGATGTTGCTGACTGTTCTTGAGCCTTTCTGTGGACGTAGCGCCATCTGACCCTGTCCTTCCAGTAAAATCTCAAGCATAGAGAGAGTGGTTAAGAGTGGGAGCCCAGAACCCTGAGTTCTCCACTTACTGGCCTTGTGCTTCATTCTCTTTCCTCACCTATAAAATGGGTACACACAAATAATTATTTATTATAATAGGATTATTATTAATCAAATAATCCTATTTGATGATTGGATTTGATTATTAATAATCAAAGGATTAAAATAAGGAGTAAATGAATTAATACCTTTGACATTTGAACAATGTCTTGTTTGTTGTGTCAGATGATACAACTCTGCTGTGCTTATTTTCTGCTATTAAAGTAGGTTGGGATGATAAACCTGTTCTCCAAACTGGGAGAGTTTCCATTTCTTTTTTGACGCTGGAGGAGAGCACTAGAGGAGTGTGATACTGTGATTTATAAGAAAAATATGTATGTGGTTGTTAAGATCTATTTCTCATGTGTTTGGTCTTTGGTTCCTGGCTCACAGCTCCCCAAACCCTTGGAATTTCCTAAGTGCTGAGAGTGACTAAAGGTCTTTTGTTATGTGAATGATTTGATGTTTGCAGAGCACCTAAGGCTGGGGGCTGCTCACCAGTGGACCCCACCAGGTGTTTAGAGAGTTGAACTTTCAGTCCCACCCCCCACCCACCCCACCCCCTGGGCTCCTGGAGAGGGGCGAGAAGGCTGGAGATTGAGTTCCATCACCAGTGACCAGTGGTTTGATCAATCATGCCCTTGTAATGAAGCCTCCATTTCCACACCAGCGGCTGAATTCACTGGAATTTGACCAGAGTGACTATAATAATTTACCCCAAAAGATGGTGAACATATGCAGATTGGGGAGAATAGGGTTGCCCGGAGCAGGTGTGGAAGCTAGTAAGTAAAATGTTTCTGAGTTCTGTGAGCTGCTCTAGCAAATTAATTGAATCTGGGGAGCGATCTATAATCTGGGCTTGTGGCTGGCATCTGAAGTCCGTGGGGGGGGGGGGGGCGCCGGGGGACAGCCTTGTAGGACCAGCCCCTTAACCTGTGGGATCTGATGCTGTCAGCGGGTAGTCGGAATTGAGTTGAACTGTAGGACCCCCAGTCTGAGAACTGCCTGGTGGTGTGTGGACAAACCACACACTTTTTTGGCGAAGGTGGGAAAGCCGAGTTTTTCATTAGAAGGCGGGCTGTAACAAGATCAGAATGGCAGGCTGGAGTGGGTTGCGGCAGTGTGCTTTTACTGACCAGCAGGGAGGCTGGTGAGCTACACGGTGCTTCCTGCAGGAGGCACAAAGGGAAACTTAGGGCATAGCCCCTGGAAGTCGTGAACAGGGGAAGGTGGGCTCTGGCGCGCGGAGCTGACATATCCACCGGGAGCAGCACAGCTTGGTCTCAGGTGAAGGGGGCAGAGCTGAAGATGGGGGTGGCAGGCCAGCTGCTGACCGAGGCCGCCCTCAGAGGGTCCCCAGCTGGCCCTGGTGCCTGTGGGCCTCCTCTTCCCCTTGGGCTGGTTTCCCTGCACCGGGTGCACAAGCACAGATGACATGTGAGGGCGTCTTCCAGAAACTTCCCTCAGAACCCGGAGTGCCGAGTAGCTTTGGCGGCTGTCCCAAGGACCTCTTGTTGGTGTCTTTGTAGAAGGCATCGTATCCACCGTCAGGCAGGGCTGCTGTTCTGTTCCGGGTGGTTTTGCAGATACCTACCTGCATCCTCTCTAGGACAGGAGGGTCTGTGTGGTGTTTCCTTAAATAGATTGTCTTTGGTATTTTCGTGGGGTTTTTTTCCCCCTTGAAAGTGTGGTTAGCACCTCAGACAGGAGGCAGCCGTCGGGGCATGGGCATGAGACAGGGAAGGTTGAACTGAACCGAATGTGGTCACTTTGGGACGGTGTGTAGCATTCCTTCCTTTGGTTGGCGGCGAGTCCTGTTCCCTCACTTGGTTCTTGAGTTTGGCCAAGAAGGAATTCAGGGCCAAACTCACGCAAGCAAGCATTTAACAGTGTTCAGAGCAAAAGTACACTGTAGGTGGGCTAGCAGGCGGGCCAAGAGGTGGCTGCTTCATGGGGGGTCAGGGTTACTTGGTTTATAGACTTGCATGAGTTTTGAGGTCAGAGTGAGGGCCGTCTCGGGCCAAGGGGGACTCCCGTCACCTAAGGGACTCCTCCCACAGGTGGGGAAGGGAAGGTTTTGGTCCTATATGGTCCTTGTTGGAACTGCCAGGGCAGCCCTGCCCTGCAAGCGGGGGTGCGGTCAGCACCTCAGTGTAAATGTAGTATAATGGAGCCAGAGAGTACCTTAGGACAGCGGTTATAGGAAAGAACGATGCATGTTCCCGGGGTTTTGCCCCGCTGTTGGCGTTCCGGAGATGGTTGGCAATTTCTGCCTTTTTCAACAGCCAGCCAGTCCTGCTCAATGCTCCTATCTAGCCAACTGCCTCCTCTATCAGTCTGATTATGAAGTTCGTTCCGGAAACTTTACAAGATAACTCTGAGAGCCAGCCTGCCGGCTGCCCCCAGCCCGCAGACACGTGGCCCCTTGTCTGCCCCGCCCCTGCTGGGGAGGTAGGTGGCTTCTTCGGCTCTTGTGCAGCTTGGGAGGGACCCCCCATTCCGGCTACCTGGTGTCCCTGGCAATTGGCAGCAAGCAGATCTGTGGCCGAATTAGCCCTCGCATGTCCCATGAGTTTCCCTTTTTTTATACATCTTTGAATTTTCTTGTTGCAACATGCATATGATACTTTTTATATTTTGAAACAATTGAATGACTGAACTTTAGAAAGGAAGGCAAGGAGTGTGATCTCAAAATATCTCGAAACGATAAAAGAATAAAAGGAACTTGTGCTGTAGGGTGTCTTGCGAGCTTGTGCGTTGTGCAGGCTTTCAGGATTTGGTGCTAATTGCATATGCTATGGAACCTGAGACCTAGTATCACGAGAGCACATTTTTTTCCCCATCTTACCTCATTTCTGGGTACTAGAGAATACATTTTGCTTCATCATTATTAGAAACAAGTGCCAAACACGTATTTAATTCTTTTTCTCTCCCATTGTCTTTTTCTGGGTGTTTATTTAACATGTAGCAGATCTCATGGGTGTTGCATTTCTTACTATTTAAAAAAAAAAAACCTGCCTTATCATAGATAAAGGAGTTTAAAAATCCTCATACTCTTTAGCGCTATAATTCTACTTCTAGTAATCTACTCCAAGAAAAAAATCTGAACACACACACATATACAGAAAAGTAGGCAAGAAGATATTTATCACTACATTTTTTAAAGATGTTATTTATTTAACAGAGAGAGAGAGAGAGTACAAGCAGGGGGAGCATCCAGGGGAGAGGGAGAAGCCGGCTCTGTGCTGAGCAGGGAGCCCGATGTGGGGCTTGATCCCAGGACCCGAGCCAAAGGCTCATGCTTAACCAACTGCGCCACCCAAGCGCCCCATCACTACATTTTTTTTAAGAGCAAAAGGCAGGGGCGCCTGGGTGGCTCAGATGGTTAAGCATCTGCCTTCAACTCAGGTCATGACCCCAGGGTCCTGGGATCGAGGCCCAAATCGGGCTCCTAGCTCAGTGGGGAGCCTGCTTCTCCCTCTCCCTCTGCCTCTCCCCCCTGCTTATGCTCTCTCTCTCTCTGTATCTCTGTGTCTCAAATGAATAAATAAAATCTTTAAAAAAAAATAGCAAAAGGCAGTCACAATTTAATTTTCTAGCAATAGAGGATTTGTTTGCTGGTTATGATGATCGGGCCATTATGTAGTGATTGCAGATGCATTAGGCATACCTGGCAGGGGATTTTGGTAAGTTGGTGGAGCTCGGCCGCGGTCAGTGCGCGCCTTCATGCCCTGTGCTTTGTCTTGCAGTGTTTTGCTGTGCGCTCTCTGGGATGGGTGGAAATGGCAGAGGAGGACCTCGCCCCTGGCAAAAGTAGCGTTGCAGTCAACAACTGTATCAGGCAGCTTTCTTACTGCAAAAATGACATCCGGGACACAGTCGGCATCTGGGGAGAGGTGAGTAACCCATGGAAAGAATTAACGGCAGGCTCGCTCACACTCTGCTGTGCTTTGTGCACCCCCAGAGCTCTGCGAGACATGCTACTGAGGGAATTTTATCAGGTGCATTTCCCCAGAAAGACAGGTAGGGTGGGCGTGGGGTACCCTTTGATGTATCTGTTTGCTCTCCCAGATCCCGGTGAGGACTGGGCCCTGGAAGAGAACGTTGGTCCGTGTCTACATGACAGGGTCTGACCGGGTATCCCCAAGTCCCAGGGATGTATGGATGGGTGCTAGGGTCCAGAAACCCCTAAACTTGCATGCAAAACTGGACACACCATTATATAAGAAGGAAAGGAGATGCTGTCTGAAAGTATGTTCTCAAAGGGGAATGTGACCCCTACACATACACACAAAAATGCTGATGTCCCTTGTACTCTAAAAGTTGATGCATTATCCTTTTATAACACATTCTGCTTTATTTATAATCTGAAAATCAATATTATACCTGAGTGTTTAGAATTGATAACTATATATTCTTTCTCCCTTTGAACAAAATAATTCTGCTTTGAAATGTTAGTTGACATCATTTCAGAAAGGAAAGCAATAAGTAAAAATACCCAGTTCGTATAAAAATCATGTCAAACAAGAAAAGCTATATGCCTGCCATGCTCTGAGACCAATAGAACAGGTATATCGAAAGCGTCTCGAAATAGTGCGTGCTACATGAGCCCCCTGCTCTCGAACCTTGCCCAGTTCATACAGAGCATTGGCAGCTCTTGGATGGGGCTCTTTGGAGCCCCGAGCAGCACTGTCATAATGGGAGGGAGGGAGGTTCCCAAGGCTTCCCATGGAAGAGTCTACGTACCTTAGAATGGGGCTGAGCTGCATTACCATTGAGACTTTTAGATCTCAAGCACAGGGAGAAAGAAGGAAGAATTTTCTCCTGTCCAAGAAAGGGCTGAGCTGCATTGCCATCCAGACTTTTAGATCTCAAGCACAGGGAGAAAAAAGGAAGAAATTTCTCCTGTCCAAGAAAAGGACGTCTGTTTGGTTTCTGCCTTTACCATGCTTTCCCTGCATTACTTCCCACCTCCCACCCAAATACCCAGACATGTCTTTCCCACCAGATTATCTACTTGCCTTCTCTCTCCTTCAGTCAAAATGCTCTTCCACCAAAAGAACAAATCTCAGCTAGGATTTAGGAGAAATGTTGGCATAATTCATACTAACATGTGAATGGCTGATGAATACCACCAAGTACTTGCCACCCGGTACTTAGAAGAGCTTAGTAAGATTCTAAAGGAATCTCCAATTGGCAGGATACCTACAGGAGAGAGTACTTTGTATGGGGAGATAGGGCGAGGGGGCAGCCATGCCTGAAAATCCTCTGTGTCTTCCCACCTAGTTAGCCCCGCTAAGCCATTCCTATTTTTCTCAATTCTTCCTTCTTCTGAACAATAAATTCTTCAGGCTGTGAGTGCTTCTAGCTCATGGTGTATAAAGTAGAGCTCAACACTGAGGGTGAGGAACTCTGCCTTTTTGCCATGCCCCACCACATACAGCACAACTCCTTAAACGTCTGTTGCGTGGCTAACTGAAAATAAAGCCATGACCGTCGGATGAGTGTCTCATCTGTAGATGACAGCTGCGTCAGCGTTGCTGTTTGGGTAACAAAAACCGATTGGCAAGACTTTACAGTGGTCAACCAGGAGCTGTGGTGTGTTGAAGGAAAAAGCGATAGGATGAGCCTGGGAAGACGTGTATGTGCTGAATGACTCCTCAGGAGCCAAGCCATATTTTCGTTCAGGGACACGCCACATTCAACCAGCCATTCTCACATTAGACTACCCGCTGGATGTCGTTGTTGGTTCTGCCCAACAATGCAGGGAGGGTCAGTCTTGTTAACCCATGAAGACAGTCTCTGTGACCTTTGGGAGGACCGGTGGGGGTTTCTAAGCGGAGTTAGCCCAAAGGAAACACAACACCCTGCTCAGTGAGGGGGACCAGGTCTCCCTGTGGGTGACATCCTGTAAAGCGTGAAAACAGAGGCTTTCAAAGTCTGTTAGTGTCTGCAGGGTGTTTGCCACGAAGCAGCTGCACGGAGATGGGGTGGTGGTGACCAGGTGGGAGTTGTCCTGGGGGCTGCTCACTAGCGGGTCTGGCGGGAGGTCTCTTAGGCTGCGGTCAATGCTTCATTCCTGGGGGAGGGCAGAGAGAGGGGAGGAGGTACCAGACATCTATCAGTTCTCCCAAACAGCTGTCAGTTCTCCCAAAGCGTATCACCTGCTTGGCACCGGCAGGACCTGGGACCTGCCCCCTCCCCTGTTCCCAGCTCTCCGGGGCTCAGCGATCTTGCTTCTCCTGAAGACTGCCAAGCAGCTGGCCTCAGCTAAGGCTGGAGGAAAGGAGACAGCGTCCTTTAGTGAACAGCAGGTGTTTAATAATTTCTCAAATTATGCCCGAGGAATTACAAGGAGAATAAAGTTGAATAGTCTAGCGTTCTTGCCCCCAAAGAGCCAGCCCATGTGAGGAGACAGGAGCAATGCAAGCGATGAGAAGCCTCGGCCTCCCACTGCACTGGTATTACGGTAGTATCCGTGTCACTCAAGGCCTCCCAGCTTCTGGAGCAAGTTGCCTAACCTTGAAGCCTCAGTTTCCCTACCTGTTAATTGGAGGTAATAACACACCAAGCTCTCAGGGCAAGTTGGAAGGATCGCGAACCAGTGTGCCCCAAGCCCATGGCATAATACCTGAGATGTGATCAAGTTCTAGAAATGTTAGCTGTTGTACTACCAAGCGAGTCACAAAGCACCTGTGTTTGGTCGGCCAAATCACCTAGATGTGAAGTGCTGTCAACACCAAGAAGGGATGGAATGGTTGTGGTTGGGGGAAGGCCGTCAGGGGCAGGCCTGGTAGGGTCTGACCAGAGAGGAAGGGACGGAGACACAGGTTATGAGAATGACAGGCCTGGCATTAGCGAAAGACCAGATTCTCCAGGGAACCACCCATTAGCCTTTTTTCTCAGAGCCAAGATTCAGAATTGTAAATAATTAAAAACAAGAGCCGACTAGAAGGCAGGCTGGGGACACATTTCAGAGGGCGTGGAGAGGGAGAGAGGAACTAGGTATGTGTGAGGCATATGAAAGATTTATGCATATTTTAGTCAGGAGAGGATGTTGCTCTCTTAGGAAAACAAATTACAGACTCAGAAGTGTGGCTTCCTTTGATCGTTGCAATGATGTCCCTAGATAGCCGTGTCACCAAGCATAGATTCCTGAGGAAGAGAGCCTGTTTTCTCGTTGACTCCCAGGGGAAAGACATGTACCTTATCCTGGAGAACGACACGCTCAGCCTGGTGGACCCCATGGACCGCACCGTGCTCCACTCTCAGCCCATCGCCAGCATCCGAGTGTGGGGCGTGGGCCGCGACAATGGCCGGTGAGTACCCAGGGGTGCTGCCGTCACCTGTCACCTCAGCACTGAAGTGTGGTCTCGCTGTTGTTGCCCATCACTGAACATCAAAGGGGACAATAGACTGTCCTTAGAAATGTGAAAAAGAAAAGCACATCTCTCTCCTTGCCTCCTAAACCTTCCCTTCACGGTTTCTGAACCTCAGACCTGTTGTCGGCTCTGGATCCTGTCTTCGAGTTCTGCGTATTTCTCCTCCTGCTCATGCTCCTCATCTCAGTTGCCAACTCACCCAGGCTCTCTGGACCCCTGCCCTTCCTTTTCTCTCTTTGCAGTCTGGGTTCATCTTGGCCGTTTCAGAAGCCCTCCTAGTGGTGCTTCCTTCCTAGAGGGCTTGCTTGAAGGGAGAGGTTGTGCCACAAGCTTTAGATCATTAAACCACGGTGAGCAGGAACTTCTGGGGTTTGGGGTCGGCTGAACTTTGTTACCATTTGAAATGTCCAGTCACGTCAAGATTCCATTCAGTGTGTGTTTCTCTGACATTCTACCGAAAATTTGTTATTTATAGCAAGTGCTTCTTAGACGTGTGGTGAATTGTCTGTTCTCCAGGATGACTGGAAATAAGGAAGTTCAAATACACATATATTCTAAATAATGAAGTAACAGTTATTGCAGACATCATCCTTGGATACCATTAGTAAGTAACTGGGCTACGTTGAATGCATTTAGCTCTTAAATTATAGCTCGTCTTTGGCAACTCCCAAAGTACCTGAGGATCTCCTAGCATTTAGGGATCAGGTATAGGATAATTAATTACTGCTTTGTTGAAAATGGACGAAAGGAGGTGAAAATCCCAGATGAGAGAAAGATGACCCTGCGGGCTTGTGGTTCCATTCCTGGGCATTCTGGTTTATTGGGTCATGAGATCCTCTGTTGGGGGCTCTGCCTTGGCTTATCCCACCCAGCCTTTGGCTACCAGGGCTGGGCATTTGTGGGTTCAGTAGTCTTCTGATGCTGTTCCAAGTCCCAAGCCAGAAAGAAAAAATGGTTACACACTTCTCGGTCTCAGAACAAGCATTTTTGCTATAACCAGGCATAAGAAACGGTCTGCAAAAGAGAAGGCTGAAGTGTCTTCTGACCTCTGATTGGATAAACCTTCCTGGGAGCACAGTTGTGTCTTTGAGCTTCTGTCACAGAGTGATGAACGCAGTGGCAGTTGGGCCAGGTGCATGGGGGGGGGGGGGGCGGGGGGGGGGATGAGTGGATAATTTATGCTGCACACCTGTCATTCACTTGCTTGGCAAAACTGTAACACTGCAGTTGATGAGTTGACATGAATTGATGAATTTTACAAGGAAAATACCCGATGATGATGTTTGCTCATCATTAGAAATGTTTAGCCTTAACGGAAGGATGTAACCCTGGTCCATGTCCCCCAGGGTTGTTTTTAAGGCAGGAGCCCCGGTGAGGATCATTATATACATGTACAACTAGATGGGGTTGTGTTTTCTTAGGTTAGGCTGTGAGCAGATTTCACTGGTGACATTTTCATGCTACCCAGTTTTTTAAAGTGAGGCCAAATGCCACAAGTTCAGAGAGCAAAGGATTCAAACTCCAACTGACAAAATTATTCAAGCTCTGAGCCTCAGTTTCTCTCATCTGTGAAATGGGGCTCATAAGAGGGACCACAGGGCATGTGTATATATGCGCTTTTGTGTATGTGTCGTAACTGGCACAGTGATGGAGACGTGGCAAATGCCTAATGAATGTTAGCTCTTGATTCGTTGAGGGAACATACACGAGCAGCTGCAGCTAATTACACGGCTTCCTTTCAAAGACAGGGTGAATATGGGAGGGGTCAGACCTTAGGGAGGTTTCAGAGACAGTTGATCATTTGATACAGGGGATGAGGGGCTGTTCCTCATGAGTTCAGTTACGCTACAAGGCAAGAAGAGCCCCCCACCGCTGCCCCCCAGTGACAGCAATGTAAATTCAGTTACATTACCTTGCTTATGTTTTTGAAATGTGAGCTGGGTTAACCATGTTTTTGAAACCACTTCTTATTCTTACTCAATGTTAACAGATAAGTATAATTTAGAAATTCCCTCAGGGTTCCACAGTGGCTGTCAGGACCTCAAGTTCCTGCATCGTGTTGGGGGGTTCTTGAGTTGGATTGCTTTTGGAAGCAATAAATTTTAAAAAGTAGGTTTGCCAGTGAAAGGTTCTATTTATCCCCATTGGTCCCCTGAGTTTTCCTTCCCTAGAAGAAGGGGCATTTGTATTCCTGCTTTTTTTTTTTTTTTAACTTTCTTTTGCTCTTGATTCTTTTTTTTTAACAGCAATTTACAAGAGCAAATTCAATTTGTAATGCTGCAAAGGAAAGGGGTTTTCACTTTGCATGAATAAAACATAAAAGCATTTCATTTTGCTTGCAAAAACGAGCCCATTTTGCATTCCTTTGTAACTTTCCTTACTGAGAAAATGGAATCTCTTAAGGGATTTCTTTTTTTTCCCCTCTCTCTCTTTCTGTCTCTGAATTCTAAGAAGATATGTTTAATGAAATGTGAGGAAAAGACAGTGTGACGAATGCAGCCCAGCCCTGTAGGTGCCCAGCAAAGACTTGTTGATTTGATTTATAACTCAGGAGGCACAGTCCTTGGAACGTGGGCTGTGTGTTCTCCTCTGGTGAATATCGAGATAACCACTGTCATGGTAATGCTAGTGGCAGTCTCTTACATTACCAAGTACCTGACCCTCTGCTTTTATGCTTTGCAAGCAGGCGCTCCCGAGATTCCATTTTCTTTCTTCCCCTCTAACCTTGTAATAATCTGCTTGTCAGTAGTGGTGTCAGGTGCACGTAGAAAATCAAAGCAGGGCAGTGTATTAGTTTGCTGGGGCTCTTAGGGGATTTCTTGATGTGGTTCACATGAAGAAGGAAAGTACGTATACCAGAGGCTCGAAGTAATTTCAGAATTTATAGTTATTTTGGGTTTAGCACTATCTGAAGGCATTCAAGTGGTTTTGATTTGCTCTGAAGAAATTACTTAGGGGGAGAGTTTACTTTGGGTGAAGGGGGGATCTGGCTGTAACACCCCACACTGATTTCTGAACATAGGGGACTTTTAACAGGGACTCTCCGCTCCCCTTGTGGCAGATATGGACCTGTCTACTGGGAAGGATCTGGGCACACAAATCCCTGTGTACGTTGCCAACATGCAGTAGTATCTGCTGATTCCATCTGTTTCCCGTGAGAAAGGAAAGTGGGTGGGTGGTATAGTCAGAGGGTTTTAGACCCCGTAAGTGGCATTTTCCCGAGTGACTTCCATGGCAGTGTTCCATGGGGCACTAATGAAGTAAGATGTTCATACGCTTTCCTTGAGGGGAAAAAAAAAAGATTCTAGGGTCAGTTGGAAAACCGGATTAAACAGAGTACAACAGGCCCCTTTACTCTGGACCCTCTTAGAGGTTTTCATGTGCTGATGTTCACTGGGGCCCTTTTCTTCATGGAAGTGTAGTCACCTGGAACACACTTTGGAAACCGCTGCTCTGGTCAGTTAATGCATTCCTTTAAATTAGTGGCAACACTAGATTGCTGTCTTTGTTTTTAAGAAAAATTGGAGTTACTTTCAATAAATGGAGACCTATGGGACCTGCTAGAATGAAGATAAAATCCCTTCATAATTAACAGCTACCATGGCCATCGGGCACAAGTGCTTTTTTTTTTTATAAATATATTTTTTGAGCACCTTCTTTTTTTTTTTTTAAAGATTTTATTTATTTATTTGAGAGAGAGAGAATGAGAGATAGAGAGCACGAGAGGGAAGAGGGTCAGAGGGAGAAGCAGACTCCCCGCTGAGCAGGGAGCCCGATGCGGGACTCGATCCCGGGACTCCAGGATCATGACCTGAGCCGAAGGCAGTCGCTTAACCAACTGAGCCACCCAGGCGCCTGGGCACGAGTGCTTTTTAAAAAAAGTACTTTCTCAGGTTAAATGTTATTATTGATGCTTATAGTTATCACAAAATCCCTCTTTCTAGAGGATGTTTTATACATTTCTTTTTTATTTTTGATGAATAATTTCTAATAAAAACGGTGTGATAGATTATTCATAAATTTCCAAGTGGGTTTATCTTTGACATAATTGCCTTATCTGGTCAAGATCTCGGAGAACCTTTATCTGAAGAATATAGTGAGTCTTAAGTAGACTGAATTTTTTTTCCTTTTCTCATCTCTTAGGATAGTCTCACCTGGACGTGGCCACCAAGACCCTGGTTTAAGTTGTTTTAGAAGACTATTGTCACACATAGTTCTTGCTCTTGTTTTCCTGCCGTTGTTGTCTTTTGATTTCTTTCAGAAACACTGCTTAGGGGTTGCCTGGGTGGCTCAGTTGGTTAAACGTCTGCCTTCAGCTCAGGTCATGATCCTGGGGTCCTGGGATTGAGCCCCATGTCAGGCTCCCTGCTCAACAGGAAGTCTGCTTCTCCCTCTCCCTCTGTCCGTCCCCCCTGCTTGTGTGTGCCCTCTCTCTCTCTCTCAAATAAATAAAATCTTAAAAAAGAAAGGAAAAGAGAAAGCAGTTTAATACCAATGTCTCCCAACCTCTTTTTTAAGGATTAGGAAACTAAAGACAGAAGGTAGAACTTACCTTAGATGAGCCTTCTGGTTCTGACAGGGCAAAGACCAGACTCCTGAGATACTCATCTGTCGGAATAGGAGGCTTGTCTGTTAATCCTGACAAGAGATGACAGATGATCTAAAATAACTGGGGGTCAGAAGGGAGGCCCTTGAACGCCATGGCCTGGTCCCTGTCCTTAGAGATCTGGCTTCTTAATTAAAGAGAGAAGACCACAGTTGTGGGGGTGCCTGGGTGGCTCAGTTGGTTAAGTGGCTGCCTTCGGCTCAGGTCATGATCCCAGGGTCCTGGGATGGAGCCCCGCGTCAGGCTCCCCGCTTAGTGGGGAGTCTGCTTCTGTCTCCCTCTGCTGTTCCCCCTGCTTGTGCCTCTCTCTCAAATAAATAAATAAAATAAA